CAGGACTTGCCTCCAACCCTCCCTCAGTACGTCTCATAACACAGAGCCTGGCAAAGCTGGACACACAATAGCTCCTTGTCTTCCCCTTCACCGTTACTCTATCAGGTGCCCTAAAGCTGAGCAACCTGACCTAGGGAGAGGTGTCCGTGCCCATGCAGAGGGGTTGGAATAGAGGAGCTTTAAGGTCCCTTCAACACAAACCATTCTATGGTTCCAGGTAAAACAGCTCCCGGTGATCTCCAGGAAGGGCTACGCTTTGAACTTGAGAAACAGAGTTGTTTCACCTTATTGGTGAACAACCCCAAAACTCTGACCTGCTATCTATCAGAGTTGTTTGAAGCAAATCTTCAGAACATTTGTGTTGCTTTTAAGGTTTTACTCTGCACTACAAAACAGCTCTTTATTGACATACTGCTCTAGAACACAACACTTTTTTTGGAGAATCATGATTTCTGTGTTTCCAAGACAGGACACAACATGTTGCCTGTGTTGTACTCTGATTCAAACAGCTCCAGGGGGACACAATGTGCAAAAAGCAAGCCTGAAAAAACAACATCAAATCCTGTTTGCTCCTGGTAAATAGTTAATTTCTTTCACTTTGCATTTCCCTTCAAGCAGCTGTAAACTCTTTGGCTCTGCCAGAACCTGCAGATGTCCCAGGAACAAATCCACCACAGTGCCCTGAGATGACCTACTCGTGAGCAGCAGATGCACAGCAGGAGCCAACCAAGTGGAAGAGATAGGATCTTCTCCCATTTAAGAGTCCCCAGCAGGGTATGAATCCTTCCTGTTTTCTTTTTTTCTTTTTTTTTTCTTTTTTCTTTTTTTTTTTTTTTTTAAAAAAAAGCTGTAATGATGCCTACATGGATTTGCTGCTTTCTTTTTAAATTGCAGAATCAAGCAACTGATAACATCCACTTCTCTTTGCTGAGAATACTGGCATCCCCAAATGTTCTGTACTGCTCTTACTTGATACCTTAGGTGCTTCCTACCTCATGAGAGACATTCCTTTAGGAAAACTATGGTTTATTAACACTGTTATGCCTCATCACACCCTTCCACTTCCAAATTTCTTTTTCTTCATCCATATTCCATGAAATATTTATGCAAACACATAAAGGTGAGCACAGTTTGGACCTCAGACTGGCTATACACTGATCTTGTCTAACCTATTTTGGCATTGATCTCCTAACAAATCTGCAAAGAAGAAAAAACATGGAGAGAGAAGAAAAATGTAGACAGGAGAAAAATGTAGACAGGAGAAATCTGTGTCTGTAACGGGGAAAGAAGACACCTAGTAATTTAATCTTTGTGCATAATTTGTGTTTTAGTACTTGCATACAATTTAAAATACATTTTTAGAGCAGGGAGATCATTTTCATCCAGGGAGAGAGAGTCTGAGAAACGACCTCTGATTCTGTGGGGAAAAATTCTGGCTTATAATTTCCTTCATTGATTCTATTTGCATATCTAGGTGCAAAGAGATTACAGCTCTTTATTTTGTTTTTCATCACAGCTTTTTTTCTTGTTGTTGTTAAGACACTTGGAAGGGCACTCCTGGGAGAGCAACCAGCACCAAGCAGGGGTGCACTGCTGGGACAGTGGGTAATAAATCAGAAGTTCTGGGGTGGAGAGAAAGACTCTCAAATGCAGGGACAAACCCACTTTATTCTTGTAAAGTGACAGAAGTCTCCTGAATGACTGATGTAGGGGACCTAGCTGTGTGATCTGGCCTTCTTCACTGACAAGACAAAACAACTCCCCAACTCTGAACAGCTGTGGGATAAAGGGAATTCAGAGCCTTAGACTTAATGCTCAGCCACATCCGTCAAAACTGCAGCGTTTTGAGGAACTCAGGAAGGATGTTTTTCACCCTGCATGACTACAGCACTTCAGAGAGCTCCTGATGTGCTTCTAAATACTAAAGAAATGCTGCATAAATCATATGGATGTTTTTTAAGTCCTGGCTTGAACCTGAATGCAGCTGAATTCCATTATTTTAGACCATCACCATCAAATATCAATTCTCTCATTACACTATTGAATAATAGTGCTTTTGCCTAAGCTGCATTTCTCTTAGTATTGCGCCCAGGATGTTTTTGTTTTTAAATACACATACATTATATATATATTTATATATATATATATATATCTATCTTTTTTTGTCTAGGCTTTCAAAGCAAACAGCAAGTTCATTTTTCTCCATTACCACTGACTGCTTCCAAGTTGCTTTTCCAGGAATACCTCATAAAAGGCTACAGATACTGCCCTCTAAGCCATATTGTCAAAGCTAAGAACAAGAAAACACTACTGGAGGCAGTGGAGACCTTGAGACATTGGATTGAACTCCTTCAGATCCTAAGAAAGAAATCCAGTTTTGCCCTACTTGTATCCTTTCTTTCTGGACCAGTCATGAGGACCTCATGCTACCTCAGAACAAGTGTTCAGAAGCTGTAAGACACAATAGATCAAAACACATCCAACTTCTGACAGCACAGGGACCCCCATCTGGTGAAGGAAAACCCCATAAAAATTTAATCTTCTGCTTTAATTCCTGTAAATTGTCAGTGCTAGCAGCCTTTGAATTGACTGAAAGAAGAAGAAAAGCTTCTCCAATAAAACTGAGGTTAGGAGCTGTTGCCAACATTTTCTCTGATAAGGCATCCCCTGGCTTAGATGATGTGATAAGATTGACATGGCTTTTCAGCACAGCTGGGATGAGCTCAGGTTTAGGCAGAGCTTTCATCCATTTGATCACATAGAAGCCACTGGCAGGTGCTGGGATCACTGAAACTGAACTGGCTCCATCTGCTTGCAACTATTTATGGATCATAGTAAACTTAGTCTAGTAACTGCTTCCCCTTACCTATCAGGATTCATAGAAAGTTGTGATGGAAGGGAGAAGGAAAAAAATAGGAAGCAAAATTCAAAGACAGATGATCTGTTCCTCTCACCTCTGCTGAACTGCTGGAAAATTTCTGCCATCGAGGTGGGAAGTTTTGAGACGAAATCAGAGCATTCAACAATAGCACCTGCAAATGGCTCTACCACACTTAATAAAACCAAGTTACTTTAGAAAGGCACGTGGTATGATGTTCCTTGAAGGCTGAGCTAATCTGAGTGAGCCTGCACTGCAGCATATGCTGCCTGCCTCCTTCTTCACCAGAAATACGTGAAGATAAAGGGTTTTTCTTTGTCATACCAGCAGACACCACCACAAAAACCATTCCAGTAGAGTTAAACTTGACTTAACATTTAGCCTTATTTGCCAGTAATATTACAGAAAATTATTACTTTGCCCAAACAAGCATCTATACAATTGTTTCTACTGGAAAACTAGAAACTTTTGCCTCAATCCCTGCCAGGGAGGATGGAGTTCTGGACTCCTTACAGAGGAAGAGGATGGCTTCCTGTGCTTCACCAAACACATCCACAAAGCCACTTGCAAACACAGGCCACCTACACAGAAAATAGAGAGGCTGGACCTGCTGTGCTCCACCAGATGCTGCTGGAGTGTCCACCACCTCTTCTCTAAAGTCATCAAGAGACAAGAATAACTATGTGCACAACAAGTCTCACACCTGACCTCAGTTTCAAAATCAATTTTCCATCAATACTGACTAGTGGAACAAACACTGCAGCCTTCAGGCTCTCGTTATTTACAAGTGCTTCAGAGCACTTGGAAGTTAATAAATAAAAATCCCTAGAGAGTTCAAGTGGGGAAGATTCTGCCCATCACTTCTTTTTTCCTGCCTTCTATCAATGAGGTGCTGCTGTGAGAACCTAACACCTAAAGAATCTGCTCAGCTCTATTTTAACTAAGAACACTTGCAACTCTTAAGTATCTATAGGATGCAATGATGTTACCTGCCGATTTCTTTTCTAATGTATTTTTTCCTTCAGGTTCTCATGGATTGCTATTGATGCTGAGGTCCACATTGCTGTACTTCTCAGAACTACATCTAACACTCACAATGGCAGTGTAAATTATGGGATATATAAAAATACCAGTGAGAGAGAGAGAGAGAAGCATTTCAGGGAGAAGCACTGAAAGAAAGAAAAATGAACCACTGGCTAACATAACACAGAAATAAAACACGGGTAGCAACTCACCCTGAGCAGAATAACAGGTTAAGATGAGATTCAATTAGAATGAAAAGCAATTAATCCAGATGCACAACCATATGACTTCACCAGATTAAACAACAACAACAACACAAAAAAACCAAACAAACAAATAAAAAAACCCACCAACCCCCCCAAAAAAACACAGAGTAATTACCAGCTAAGTGGACTAAGCAGAAATTTCCTGTACTGTTATTACATGTCTTTATATTATCATTACATATCTCTTTGGTGGAGTCAAGATGCATTGTATTTTCCTCTGAGTGACATAGTCCTGACCCTTCTGAAGGCCAGGACACTGCACTGGGATGCATTGCCTCTCTTGTTGTGTGGAAGCACTGCTTCTCTATTATCCAAGTAGGACACACAGCTTGGAGGTGTGGCAAAATACAAACAATGTTTTAAAGCTAATGCATATCTTACTGTGAGTTGAGCCAGAAAGTTTTCATTACCACAGGTTTGTTTTTCTATATCCAATGCATTTGAGTAAAATCACAGCCCATTTCAGAACTGTATCTGCACTAAAAGGAAGTTTACTGAGGAGAATGTCAAGTTTCCTAGCCACATCCACTGCAGCCAATGCTTCCCAGTAAGTCATCTCTTAGGTATACCACAGTATTTATGTACAAAATTGAATTGATTACAAGCAAATTGTACATTTACAATTGTATTTACAATCACATTTTCCATCATTCCCTGTTCCTCTTCACATTTTAACTGTCCACATTCCCCTTTCTGCAAAATCTTCACATTAAAATTCATTTCCAAGAAAACAGTGCATTTGAAATTTGGGCCCAACTCAACTGTGATTGCCAAGCCTTATTTGCATTATTCTACCTGAAACTAGGTTGAAATAGTGAGCAGATTCCTCTTACCTGTTTGTGAGCATGATCATAAGAGTTAATGTGATTGTCAAACTCCTGGTGTTTATAGTACTGCTTGTCACAGAGTTCACAGTAGAAGTTGGCTTTAAGATCTTCCAGAGCTTTTGCTATCGTGTTTTTCTTTTCAGCATAATCCTGGAGGGGGGTGGGAAAAAGCAATTTTAGTTTTGCCTTTGATGCTGCAAATGGGTTTTGTGCTCTGCAGTTAATCATATTTGTAAACATTTACACACACCTCTGTTCACTAAAAGCCTTCACGTATTTGCTGTGTTACCCTGCACAAATTTACTTGCTCTGCTGCGAGGCTGAAGATTTGCAAACTGCAATTTGCCATCAAGTTGCCAGCTCCCCTTAGGGGACCTGTCAGAGGCTGGAAGGATTTCCCCAGGTCCTGCCTAAATGCAAATATTTATCATGCTGAAGGCTATTTTTGAGGGAATTTCGATCCAAGGCTGGCTGCCATGTAGCATACCCAAGCAGATGGGGGTGTATGTGAAGATACCAACTGCAATCATTTAGTTATCAGGCTTTTACATGAAAGCATGCTTGCTACAAAGACTACAAAATCCAAGAAACTCCTCCGAGTCCTTCCTGAACGTGTGCACACAGGAAAACACGAGGAACACTTCCACAGCTGAGATGTAATGAGCATCTCCCACAGCTTTGTTATTTTTAATTTAATATTAGCAGGACAGACACATATCTCTGTTTACCATACACTAGCAAAAGCATTACAACCAACCTTGCTTATCAATTAGAAGCAAATTATGCATTAGTAATATTCATTAATTTTCGAAATACACTGATGAGAACGTGGCCTGTTCTGAAAGAGCATGGAAATGGTCTGTCATCTCTAATTAGTTTAATACCAGTTCAATATTGAACACACAACTTCAGTGCAATGACTCCTGCTTTTGACAACATTGACAGGTTTCACAGTTTAGGACCCAAACACTACCAAGATAATTTTTGGAGTTTAAAATAGAAAATTTAGATTTATCAGATGAGAATATTTTTAGAACAATGAAGTTTATTTAAAAAAATAAGTAATGCAATTAGAACTCTATCCACAAGGTACTTAATTAAAAAAGCACTTTAAATATAATTCAGCAAGCTGTTGATTCATACCCAAACAAATGTCCTCTCTCATCTAATCTTTGTCCATTGTAAGAACTGCAAAAGTCACTTCATAAGAAACTACAGTTACTACACTTCAATTACTGCCAAGATGCCTAAATTTAGGAAAGCCTTGGTGACAGCATATGAAGACCCTAAGGAGATACACTCCCTTGAAACGCTTCAGAAGCAATGGACTGCAGAAATGCCACCTAATTCTGCTTATTTAAAACAAAAAAGAGATAATTCTGCATTTGGGGGAATTATCAGCAATCTGAAAGATTCTATATGACATCTGTGAAGGAAGAGAAGAAATGGGATGGATTCTAAGACAAAAACAGTGAACTGAATAATTGTTTTTCTGTCTATGAAGATCTCACACTATGTTGTTGATGAAGCCTCAAGCAAAATTTGGCAAGACTTAGTAATGTAGCTTAAGACCTTCAAGAAAACAACATCACTTCAGTGGCATTCCTCTTGACATAAAGCCCCATTTTTTAAATGACATGCTTATTGCATAGCAGAATCTAAGCCCAGTGAATTGTATGTGATGTGCCAATGGATCCTAATGGAGCAGAGACACTGGAACCCCATGAACAACTTGACTGTACAGTAATAAAATCTCATCACGATCTTGGGGTTTCTACTACTAAATCCCTTCCGTGAGAGTTGTTTTTTGGACTGGGTTAATTTTACATTACAATATTATATGGCAGCTTCAGAGGCAAGAAATTGTCATGCCATCTAAATCACACACAAGTAAGTAGATGGAATATAACAATGGAGCTCAATCATGCAGGGGTGAAACAGAACTTTGAAATGATGGCAACCAGAAGTGTTTGACCTTAGGGGCACATTAATGGCTGTGTTGGATCAGGTTAACCTTCTAAGCCTGTATAACACTTTGTCCTGTACAACCAGGAGAAGGGACTAAATAAAGGACTGTTGCTTTGGCTTTGCAGGTCCATTCTGCTAGTTTCTGTTGTTGCATATGAGAAGAGGTGATAAACATCCATTTTTTACTCCCTTTAACTGGCTCATTCATGATTACATACACACCTACCCCACTGCCTTTCAGGTAACACTCTCTCAGTGATACAGTTGTAGTTTATCCAGGCCTTCTTGATATCAAGACCACTCATCACCTCCACTTGCTCTTTTCACAGTCTCCAAAAGAAGACATGGAACACAACATAGCATGGTGCCACGCAGTGCTACATTAAAAGTCTGTATTTTCTAACCTACTCCTTTTTGTATTTAGTCTTAACATACAAATTTTTAAAAATCACAACAGAGCACTAAGCTGACATTTTTCTGGAACTCCTTTATCACCTACATCCTTCACTCATGTACAATATCTTGCCAGCAGGAGACGTTTCTATCCAACTACTGAACTTCAGCTCACTTCAGAAATGGCACATGTCTTCAGAGGCAGCAATGGCCATTAACAAAGCCCATCGCTGAGGTACTGAGGATCTAAGGGTGGGCAATAGCATGAACTGTGGGCACTGAAGTACCTACCTCCAACAGGAATATATTTGCAGAAAAAATACCTAAAGAGATACTAACAGAAGTGTTTTACAGCGTTTCACATTGTATTACTTAAACATGAAACACACACCGAAAAAAAAGTGTTTCTTTGTATTAGCCCCTA